AATACAAACACCTAAAACGACCGTGTCCTATGATCCTTCCTTTACAGCTACGACATTCAACCTGTCTATCGGCATGCACGGCATGCAAAATCATACGAGTATCATATTCCTCATGGGTGCTGTAAAGCTGGACTCGGTCAATGAAAGTTTTTGCACAAATGCGTTTTACGATTTGAGGATAGGAAAAAGTTCCAGCTAAAGTTAATTCATCATTACTTGCTAGTGCATTCGTTTAGTTTAGGCGGTAACAAACAATAAAATTCTCAAGAAACTGGAACAATGTTTGCTTATTTTCATTGGAAGATAAACACTTTTTCCAGTCTGGTGTAAAGTTTGATCTTAGGTCACGTTCGGCTACCTTGATTGAAATTTTGAAGACATATCTGTCAGAGAAATCAACAATAGAGGTAGAGGTAACAATAGAGAACTTTACCCCAAAGTCACCAAAAGCCATACCATCCCTAATCAAAACGGTATGACAAAGATCGGCTTTACTTAATTATATCATGGTTCAATCATCATAAAAAGGCTTGTAGGGATCGAACAAATCGGAAATGACAAAACTGTTTCAACAGTGACTTCATCTAGACTATTTGCGTACACCAATGTTTCGACTGAATACGATGTCAGTATTGATATGAAGACTCAAAATTTCTCTTGTTCTATGAATATTAATTTTGTTTCCTTCGTTAGTTACTCAAATGTTTTTATCATGAACCTAGGGATACAATCAATAAAACTATTTCATCGTTTTCCTCATGAAAAGCTCTGATTCCTTATCCGGATTGGGCTATACTTTGGGTCCATTTTGGTTTGATTCTCCTGTCAGCATTTGGTTATTATGTCTGTTTGTTTTGTTCACACTTTGTTGTCAATATAATGGAATTTTATGCAACTGTCATACAAGTGAGAGGTTTAGCAAGCTATAAAACCAGGCTTAATCCACCATTTACTACATGAGGAAATGCCTATACCAAGTCAGGAATATGAAAGTTGTTTTCCATTCGTTTGATTTATTTGAGCTTTTAAATTTGCCATTTTATAAGGGACCTTCCGATTTAAGTTTTCCTTGGAGTTCGGTATTTTTGTTATTTTACGTTTTTTTTGCATCAGATTTTGGATATTCACTGAAGATACATTAATTACGAAATTCGCATCAAGTGCATTAAAATTTGTATTGTTTATGTTATTGCCTTCCGCAAAGGCCCATCGTTATATGATCTTACCATTTTGTTCCCATCATCAAAAGCCGACGTCAAAAAGGTCTGTATTTCTTTCTATGCGTGCATCCCAGTTGATGTACACCTCATTCAACCTTTTATTCATTGCAGATACAAACGTCGACTTCCCTATACTAGTTAATTGACTCAAACTGTCTTTCGATGTTATATGTGTGCATATTATGTAATGCATACAATTTAGCGACTTATCGGCTTTTCTTTGGACCTGAAGGAGCAAGTTTTAAAACGTGTTGTTTTAATTTTTTCAGAGGTCGCGCAATTATAGCTGAAAATATCCGTCAGTTGTTTTGATTTTAAACAATTTTTCTAACAAAGTGGTAATTGAGGGAAAACGGTACTATTTATTCTGCCATAGGCGACAATACTAACATTTTCTAAATTTACTACTTTTTATAATAAAAACCTTGACAAAACAGTTATGTGTGGTGTTAGTACGTTATTACTCTGTTTTAAAAATTGAAGCCAAATAGTATCATGACCAACTTCCAACGAAGCTTGTTTATGTTATCCATGCCCACCGTCATTTTACATTTAATTTATGAAATTTTGGAAGTCTTTCCGAATAATTCTCTAGAAAATATTTCAATGGGTTTCAAAATTTATATTGTAAATATACACACTGCAGTTATTCATAGATAAATAAAAAAATATATTGTACCCTTACATCCAATCACAGCGCTCCTTCACCTACCTTGGGTACACAAAAGGCCAACCTAATGCTGGAAAAATGTAATAGTACCGTTTTCCCTTAACGGAAATAGCAAAAAAATCAAATAAAAAACATATACAAACAAACTTTCTACATATATTGAATATATGCACTTAATTGAAATTATCTATATAAAATAACGAAAACGGTAGTAATTTCATATATTAGTTGAGTGCTTATTATTGACCGTACGGTTTGATAATACACAAAATGTATAGGGGAGGGATCAAGTTCCGTAATGAAATTTCAGTTTTTTACTTTATTATTTTTCCATTGATATCTTCAGATTTTTAAGCCCAATAGTCAACACTTCTGTGTTGATATGAATCATCATTGATATGGTCATAATTATAAATTAACTGTTTACAAAACTTTGAATTTTTGAAATACTAAGACTTTTCTACCTCAAGAATAGATTACCCTAGGCTGTATTTGGCAAAACTTCTAGGAAATTTTGGTCCTCAAGGCTCTTCAAATTCGTTCTTTATTTGGCCTTTTTAACTTTTTTTTATTCAAGCGTCACTGATGAGTCTTTTGTAGACGAAACGCGCGTCTGGCACAAATACAAAAAAATTCAATCCTGGTATCTATGATGAGTTTATTTACAACCACTGGGTCGATGCCACTGCTAGTGGAGTTTTTATTCCCCGAGTGTATCACCACCTCAGTAGTCAGCACTTCTGTGTTGACATGAATTATTAGTGATATGGTCATAATTATAAATTAACTGTTCACAAAACTTTGAATTTTTTGATATACTAAGGCTTTTCTACCTCAGGAATAGATATATTATATACAATATATATCAAAAAGGGATAAAAATTAAAGAAATTAATAAAATTGTTCTTCTGATTAGTGGTGATGTTTAAAGTAATACCTCCTGCTTGGGGCAAACTCATGAAAAAGATCACACCAGGTCAGAGAGTATTAAATTCTAAATAACATTCATTCAAAATTGCAACATCCTGTGAAACTTAAATCGCAAGGCCTTTTGAATTCACTAGATAAGTAATACACGAGTTTAAGAAAAATAGGGCTTTCTTTTTACCTGTAAAACACACATGTACTGAGGTAATTAAACCTTATTAAAGTGCTTCTTGTATGCCATGTCTTTAATTTTGACAAAAAGTATTTAAATTTAATTGAAATAAATTTTTACTGTAACTTTGGAACACATTTCCTTTTTTAAAAGTGTATCACAGGATTACTATGGAAGTTCTATTATCATGATTATATTAAATTCTTGGTTTAACAAAACAAAGGTGTCATTTTTAAAATTTATTAAGTTGCTTTATATGCTATTTTATATATATTTTAATAAAAAAAAATGTTCACTGCATTATTAACTAAACTCAACTGACACCATAAATCTATACAAGGCTTAATTTAATGGTGAAAATTGTCCAGTAACCATAAAATATATCTGAAACATTCAAAAAATTTTGAATAACAGTGAAAATATTAGTCACAATTCAGTTTTGAGATTATTTGATCAGCTTGTTTTATTTTTATTTTAAAGGGGATATATATGTATGTATATAAGTGTTGAATATGGTGATGAAGTTATATTATGTTTATTGTGAAATTTTGGTTTCAATGCTATATTGAATACATTTTAATTTCAAATTGTTGTTCAAATTTCTAGCCAGGGGAAAAAGCTGTTGTTAAAAACAGTTCCTAAATTGATGAAATACAATAGATAGATACAAAAAACAGGTCTAGGTTGGTTAAGACTTGGTCGAGTATGGTTCAGACTAGGTAGAGTATGGTTCAGACAAGGTCAAGTATGGTTCAGACTAGGTCAAGCATGGTTCAGACTAGGTCGAGCATGGTTCAGACGCGTATAAAATGGTTAAGTACTGGTCGAGTAAGGGTCAAGTACAAGTTCAGACTGAAACGTATGGTTCAGACTACAGTCGAGTATTATCAAGTAAATTTCAGACCAATTCAGACTGGTCGAGTAAAAATCAGTACAGTCGAGTACAGATATAGGCCAGACTTTTACTGGTTTGTAGTGAATGTATGCTAACCAGTTGTACGTGTTATTCAAAATAAACAACAAGAAAAGATGACTTCCAGAGAAAAACCAGATTTGCAATTGCATTTGAATTTAATGCGTGGCAAACATATGAGGGTTGCCAATTTGTACAGTGTAAATAGTTTTAATTATTTGGTTAATATTTACTTTTATTCAATGGAGAAGCCTCCTGTTTTACCGAGTGGAGTTAGTAAATCACTCAAGTATGAGGTCAACTCCTTGCCGGAAGAAAAAGAAGAAGAAGAAAACCAAAACAATTTAAAGATTATAATCAACCTTTTTCACAAGATTTGAACATCCCAATAAACGCTTTTACCGTACTGGACGCCTTAAATATGGTACATTTGCGATTCACTGTTAATTAATACATGTACACTATGGAAGCTGTTGTCGATCGAGTCTTTAATTGTAAGGAAATATTATTCTAAAAACAAAATACGCTATCGATTTGGTATATAGTTTTCTTTCCTTTATCAAACCGTATCTATGTATTGGTCAACACCGAAATTCAAGAAATTTTATTATTTCTCCTCGATCTATTGTCTTTGATTTGACCATATAAAAGTATGTATTAAATCAAACAGCAACTTAATCGATAATATATGTTATTTTTTTTTAATATCTCTGATATGAAATCGAACAGAAAAGCCGTATTTATCTGTATATATTTATCTATAACATATTTAACCCTCGGTCACTAGCCAATCACCAATCAGTGAAGGTCGTGTCATGGGTATATTTAGATGAACCGATCCCAAAATGTTGATACTTTCTGCTATATAGTGCATTGTTTCCTGTGTGATTTTTGTAATTTTGTAGCATTTTATAAATCAAATTTGAGTTTGAGACATGAATTTGGCTGCATTTTGATCAAATCATATACTTTCACGTTGCTTTAATTTTCATTGTAGAATCTTAAAACAATGAAATAACTGAAAAAAATACAAAATGGGGTTTTGTTTCTGCTGATCATACAGTAAAATTGTTTAACTAACATATTATACTTACATACCCGTTACCAGAATGATAAAATTGTGAACAAGGTAAATGATCAATACATATACACCTGATTAAAGTATGGAACACCAAGGGCGACTATATTATTTGTGATCTGCGTATATGTAAGATAATGATATTCCCTTTCTTTATGATTATTTAATATTTCATCTGTTAGGAAGACTGAAAGCGAAATAAAAATCTGTGAATTCCATGACAATCAAATACCAAATACATTGGCACAATATAAGCCTTGATAGTAAAGCCGAAAACTTTCTTCTTTCATGAAATCCATGCAATGTCTGTAATTGTGATAGAAATAGGCCAAGAAGATTGGAACTTGTTTTTATCCGAAATTTGCCATTATAAATTTGTTTAAAAATTTAAGAAAAAAAAGTGTATTTTTTGCTCACTTATTTTTTTCCTGGTATATCTCTTGGTTAAAGTCAAATTAAACAATAAACAATTATGTACCTGTTGAATATCTGCAAGGAGATAAGTAATCTACAGAAAATATATAACTTCCTCTTACTATAAACCAGCCGAACATTTGCATGTATTTATCTGTCACAACATTTGGATTTTACTTATGTAGACGAAATCACAACGAACGCTGAAAAACTCTGCGCGGTTTGAAAAATTGTGTCCTGCCTTTTTGTTTTAGTTGTAATCTCCGTCTTTTTATTTTTCACTCTATTCGGTACTGCCTTTTTTTTAATTAGTTTATCCTGACTTTTTTTACATAAATTGTCATCCTGCCTTTTGCGTTTTGCCGTGTTGCTCATCCTGCCTTTTTTTTAACTCAAAACTCTTGTCCTGCCTTTTTTTTCAAGTTTCATTCTAGCCCCAACCCCCTCCCCCCTAAAAATCAAATGGTAACTCCGTTAGAATTACCGTTTTATTAGTTTTACTCAATACGTCTTATTTACGTAAAGGCCGCCATGTTTGTCAGTAAACTTCAGACAAGACACGTCAAATAGTATTACAATTAGTCCGACGATTTCAGAAAAAAATCGAAAAAAACAGGACGGACTTGCAAAGCTAGCTGAAAGTAATGACAATAGTTTACAGGGGTTGAGCTGAAAAAAGATACGATCGATTAATGGATATACTATCTTATTTCGAAATCGGCTATAATGCTATAAGGGAACATTCAAAAAGTATGTACAACTAATTATTGAAAGATTTCAAGTTGTTTGAAATACATACAAACCTGGCATTTAAAAGAAAACAATAATGCTGTGTAGAGTTTTGAAACGCAATCTCACTCACTCACTCGCGGAAGCACACACGACCATTTTTTTCATACTATACTTCACCAATTGTCTTAAATCAAATGGAAACTTGGTCCTCCATAACATATATTGCTTATTGCGAAATATCACACGGGAGTTTTCTTTAAAAACTGGTATTGATAAGTATATCGCCCACAAACTAAATATACTTTATATGTTAAAAAAGTAATTTAACGGATTAGTAAACATACACAGTACTGTGTTTGATACACAACAACGATATGAAAAAGAAGATGTGGTATGATTGCCAATGAGACAACTCTCCACAAGAGACCAAATGACACAGAAATTCCTTTGATTTTATCTACATTTGTTTGCTTAATGTCTTCCGGTGAATAAATAAGGTTTGCTTTTAATCAATTTATTTATGGTCCATTCTTTTCTTATGTACATTGTATGTCTGGAATTTTGGTCTTATGCCGTCTGGATGCCAGCCTTCAATCAATGACGTGAAATATTTGTAATCTAATATGCAAACAAGTCTGTGTCTGACGACCTCTTTGAACTTTTATGATAGATGTCTGTAGTAATGTTTCTGATATGGTATTTCATATATAAATTATGGATATTTTAATGATAATATATCCGACACTGTCACATTAGATAACTGGCCCTTACAAAGAAAAAGACATTTATCTGACTGGTCCTCTTAAAGATACTTGTATTTTTATCGAAACAAATGTCGTGTTTCATTTATGCATTCAAAGAATTCGAAATTATAGGGAAAGGTATGTCCTAAATTCTTAGTTGTTTAAAATTAGCAAGACGGCATACATTTATTGAGAATATTAATTGTAATGATTAAAAAATTACTAAATAAACATGCATGTAAGACTGAATTGTATAAAGAAGAGTTGGATTACATTTCAAACTCTAAATTTTCAGAAAGCTATTTCTATGGGTTACCTAAAAGTGAGGAAATTTCAAATGCGGTATCAGAACAGAACAGTGAATACATCGAACTTTTAAGACCAAATGATTTAAAATTTCGACCTATTGTGGGCGAAACCAACAGCGTCACACAAAATTAAGCCATTTTATAGACATTGTCATTAAACTTTTATGTCTTGAAGTTCCCAGTTTTATACAAGACTATTTGGAATTTTTAAATCATCTACCAACAACTGTAAATCCTAATTCAGAACTCAATAATTTTGATATTGTCAGTCTCTACACAAATATCCCACATGACTTAGGAATTACAACCGTAAAATATTGGTAAGAAAATACGGAAAACGTCATTGAAAACAGATTAACAAAAGATTTTATCCTTGCATCTTTGAAACTTATATCAAAAAGAAATAGTTTTTACTTTAACAGCACATACTATCATCAGAAAAAAGGAACAGCTATGGGTACTAAAATGGCGCCTTCATACACCACATTAGTACTTGATTATTTGGAACAATTATTATACGAGAAAATGGACCATAAATACGGAAATGAATTTGCCATTTACATACGTCAAAACTGGGAACGATTTCTTGACGATTATTTTATAATTTGGAATTCGGATATATCTGTCTCAGATTTTCATTCTGATTTTAATTCTTTAAATCCACATATTCGTTTCACAAATAACAGAAATGTCAACAAAATGCCGGTTTTGGATATTTTAGTACTTATAACGTAAGACATTGAAATTGTCATAGATATCTTCTCTGAAGACACCGATACACGTATGTATTTAAATTTTTACTCAAACCATCCAAAACATGTAAAATTAAATATACCTTTTAATATAGCGTCAAGAATAATTACCATTACAAGTACAGAACTATTACGCAATAAAAGATTGGAAGAATTAAAAGTGTATTTAAAAAAGCAGCAATATCCGGAACAAGTGATAGATTACGGAATTCAAAAGGCACTGCTAAAAGGACCAACCATTACAGAATCACGGCGATCCGAAACAACCGAAGAATCATCAACCAATTTAGACAAAATTATCCCGTTTGTCACAACATATAATCCACGAGATTATGATATATTACCTTCATGCGACAAATTGAAAATAATTTACACAAAAGTGAAAAAATGGACAAAGTCTTTCAAAAAAAAAAGAAGATTATCAACAGTAAAAGACAGTCAAAAAGTCTAAAACGATATTTCACATCTTCAAAATTCCACTTTAATGAAACTTTGCCTATTGTTACAACATGTACCGATAAACGATGTATGACATGTCCAGAGAAGAAAGTTCAATTTATTTCAAAAATGGAAAGCATTTCACAGTTAAACAAAATTTGTCTTGTAAAAGTTCAAACGTCATTTATTCTCTCATATGTTCAAATTGTGAGGAATTCTATATTGGAGAGAATTACTATTAAGGTTATCAAAATTAAATCTATAAAGTATGAAACGTACACTGAGAGAACGGCAAAAATATGTGAAACTAGTTAGCACCTGAGATCACCCCCAGTTTTTGGTGGGGTTCGTGTTGCTTAGTCTTTAGTTTTCTATGTTGTGTCATCTGTACTATTATTTGTCTGATTGTCTTTTTATTTTTGGCCATGACGTTGTCAGTTTGTTTTCGATCTATGAGTTTGACTGTCCCTTTGGTATCTTTCGTCCCTCTTTTAGTAACATTAAATAAGCATAAAATCGAGTTTGTGACCTAAAATTTATACAAATTCAACAGATTTTCCCGCATTTTCGTATAATAGAATTTTTCGGATTCGGACTATGACGTCATACGAAATTCACCGCAAAAAAAAACAACAGAAACGGCCATGGTGGATGAGTTTGGAATGTAATTCGTTATGTGTAAGAAGTAGTTATTTGGAAGGATTAATATCCGAAAATAAAGAATCGGTAAAAAAAGATATGTAATTGCTATTTTTTTACTTCAAAATAACTTGATATTTCAAATGTGCATAACAAGAGTTTTACAAAAATCTGCAAAATATGAATGATTCGATAGCCCGGGCCGAACATCTGATTTTTTTAAATGTCCAACTATTATGTTACAATTTAAAGAAATGACGTTTTAACGCTATTTTGTAAGAGGGTCCACGACATAGTCGCTTATTATTTCCATTACACTGCTCTTAGTATATGATATTTATTTATATTTCCAGAATGTGCAATTGCTGCACTTTGTTGTTCGAAAAAAAAGAGATATGTTGAACGTTTATGTTTAAAGCTATGTGATAAACTAAGTGTCAAGTATTTTTGTTACGCGTTTGTTTTCTGGAGAAAAAATGCCGACGTCGTAAATGATTTAAGTAATTTGAAGTCGTTACGTTTGTGGACTCAGTTTTGTGCACGCCGTCAATGTACATAGACAGCAAACCAACCATGAAGATTTAACAATCATCAGGGCTAACGACCATTTCCATTGTTGTTCTAATGAACGATTTTAAATATTTCCGTTGTATATGGTCAATCGTCAAAACAATTTTCTCAAGAAGAAGAAAGAAAATTATTCATAAACATTCTCAACCCGGGATTAAATGATTAATTTTTACGTAACATTTTAAAGAATTTACTCACATTTTAAAATCACATTAGTAGTCTCCCTTGTATTTGTTAACGTCATACTATTGTTAACGTCAATCAACTGTTTTATAACACTTATGTATACAAGTCACATTACCTGAAAATATGCGAAAGCAGTGAAAGCGCTAGTAAAAGTGATGAATTGAAACCGTTATTATTAGGTCTTTCCACTTTTCCCTGGAAAGACCTATTGATTTTGTTCTGATTATTAGGTCTTTCCACTTTTCCGTGGAAAGACCTATTGATTTTGTTCAGATTATTAT